AATACCACACTAGGTATGGGTTTGGGTAGACAGCAACCGCCCAGGGGTACTACGTCCTGCCAAGTGAGTGTACAACGAAAATCTGTAATGTTTTACATGATGGTAGGATTGCTGGTGTCTTTTTGTCTGTCTCATAAACATGCAAGATTTCAGGTATGTCTTGCTACTTCTACTTGCACTTAGGTCACTCTACATATACATGTACAAGGTTATATATACACACCCCTCTGAGTATTCTTCTATTTTCTTTCTAGTTCTTGTTCATGTTTATTTCCTTGTATCTCCATGGGGAAGTGGGACAGAATTCTTCCTCCGTAAGCTGTGTGTGTTGTAAGAGGCGACTAAAATGCCAGGAGCAAGGGGCTAGTAACCCCTTCTCCTGTATAAATTACTAAATTTAAAAAGAGAAACTTTTGTTTTTCTTTTTGGGCCACCCTGCCTTGGTAGGATATGGCCGGTTTGTTGAAAAAAAAAATATATATATGTACATATACTGTATATTTTTAGGTGTCTGTGAAGGAAGACCTCTAAGAGGTTCCATGAATTTTTTTTCTTTGAACTTTTCAATTTTATTATGCTCTTAACTCAAACACCTCATTCAGTCAGTTTTAACAAGGACCAAATTCTTGGAACAGTTAACATGTTCACGTTACCTCAGAGTGTGAAATTCAAATATCGAGGTGAAATTTTTATTCCCGTTGAATCACATTAAATAATTTTTCAGTTACCCACTTCTGAATGGCTTAAATATTTAATGGCTGATTTACCTTAGAGCCAGGACAATACCCATTAAGTTTTGATTTCTTGCAGGCAAATTTGTTGATGTAGTGAAATAGTAAAAACAAACTTGGAGTCATTGGAATCTATGCCATAGCAGGAATGACTCATCTGATTGGCTTCAAATTTTCACCACTGGTCTAGTTTCCTGAACACAAGGCTTGTTCTGCTGTTGGGTGGCATAGGTACAAATTTGCCAATTTTATTCAGTAGGGATATTCGTGCAGGCATTGTACTTCCCACCTCCAGAACTCTTTAAGTCGGGCTGACCGGTTTCCCTGAATCCCTTTCCAAATACGTATTATCCTACTCACACTCCAACAGTTTGGTCCCCAAAACCTTTCATCTCCATTCTATCTAACACACTCAAACATGCCTGCTGCATGTCCAAGCCTCTTGCACACAAATCCTCTTTTACCCCATCCCTCCCTCCTTACCTAGGACAACCCCTCCCCCTCCACTACAGATTTATACACCCTCCAACTTATTTGTTATAATTTCATGGCCACATTTCTCAGATGCTTTTAAAAATCCATGCATACATAAATTGTTTACAATTTTTTCTTTCTAATGCCTTCTGTGATTTGATTGTGAAAAGTAGGTCTCTACTAGAGTCTAAGTGGCCTGGATTGTTAAGTTTGTGGGTTTACATAAAGATGGTAATTTGCTTTCATAGTATCCTCTCAAAGATTTTTATTATGTACAATGTTAGTGTGACTTCCCTGCCATCACTGCTGCCTCCTTTGTAAAACTGAGCTATATCTGCAGTTTTGTACTAAAAGAAATATGATCTGACTGCACAGTTTGTTATAATGTTTTCTACATGCTGTACTCTATAAACTTTTATGTTGCAGAGCATCTGTGCTAAGTCAGACAGTGAACCATGTTGTGATTGGGTTGGTGAAGATGGAGCTGGGCATTATGTGAAAATGGTTCACAATGGTATTGAATATGGAGACATGCAGCTCATCTGTGAAGCTTACCATCTCATGAAAACTGGTCTTGGCATGGATTGTGATGAAATGAGTGAGGTAATATTCATGACTTAGCCTTTTCTTTCATTTTTGTGTTACTCTGCATACTTTTTGCAGGTGAATACAAAAAAATCATTGTGTAAATATTAGAAGAAAAAGAAATTACATGATAGAAAAAAAGATTTGCAATAGGTATGATAAGTTATCATGCCAGTTATTGGGAAATGTGGAAATCCGAGACAGAACTTTAAATCACAGAATATAGATATTTAACCCTTTGAGGGTCGACAGGCCCTCTCCGAGACTCATTCTCAGGGTCGGCCAAATTTAAAAAAAAAAAAAAATAAATAATTTTTTATGAAAAGATAGAGAATCTTTTCCCGATCATAATGACACCAAAAATATGAAATTTGATGGAAAACTTACGGAATTATGCTCTCGCAAAGTTAGCGGTCTCGGCGATGTTTACGGATCGGCGATTTTGCCCACTTTGAGCCCCATTTTCAGCCAGTTCCACTGTACTAGTCGACAAAAAACATGAATATTTCGCTAGAACTCCATATTTTCTATGAATGAGTGCAGAAACCACCCATTTACCAATTTCAACTATCCAGTTCAGTGGTCAGAATTTAGCAATTTTGCCAATTTCACACAAATTTCAAAAGATGCCAATTTCCGAATAGGGTCCAGAACAAACAAGAAATACATTCCTGGCACTAAAATGACATTTCCTCTGTTCATTAGTCACGTCTCAAGGTCCCTCTTACATTCTTTTGCTTTCCACTTTGAATTTTTATTCTCACAAATAATAGAAGATTTACTGTTATGCAGACTACTGCATTAGTGTAAAAAATGGTATGAATCATATTGGCGCACTTGCAAAAGAATATTAGACTCACCAGTTGGACGCTTGGCATGATTTGTTTACTTTTGTACTTTGGTAAAAATCGAACATTTCTGCTACTTTGAGCTCAATTTCAAGGTACTTTTCATTGTAAAACCAGTCAAAATCATCTCAATTTCTATGATATGCCTTCCATTCTATAAAATGAGACCAAGAAAACTAGAATACAACAATAAATACCATACAAAAATACAGTGCAAAGTCGCTGTTTTATTCCAAAAAAGGGTCAGTTTTTTTTTCTCATTATGCACTGTGTGCTGCAGGATTTTTTTATACCGTGCACACTGACCACATAGACCCATTCTTTCATATGGAGGCCTACCAGCTTTCTCCCACTAGATTTGAGGGCGCTAGAATTTAGGCGTACTAGTACGTCAAAAACTCTGGGTCGTAAGCCGTACTAGTACGTCTGAAACCCTCAAGGGTTAAAGCAGGAGTAAATACAGCAGCTTCATGGTTTTTTCTAGGAAAAGAAATTATATATCTATGGGCAAATAGTAACTATTTTATAGACAGTACTTTATAATAAAATAAGCTTGATGTCTTGTATTAAATATATGGGGCACTGTGAGCATAGTTCTGCTCCAGTAACCACAGTAATTGCCAACATATTGTCTGGATTATGATTGTTGTTAATTTGAAGCATTTGTTATTTCAGGTGTTCACGAAATGGAATCAAGGGGAACTCGATTCATTCCTTATTGAAATTACTGCCAATATCTTGAAATTTAAAGATACTGATGGTAAGTAAATTTTTCCACAGACATTGCATATCTTTCCATTCATCTGTTAAACCATCCATCCTACAGGGTCATGTATCCTTTCATCTGTCCATCAGTTCATCTGAACTTTCATTTTATTTCTACTCCTGAATGTTGATCATTCAAGGGCAGTTCATATATGACAGTCTCGGGTACCTAAGCCTTTCAGAAGTTTCTCTCTGACTTTATCATGAGTAGTGCTGCTGCACCTGGCAAAGCTACATCTCTTAGAATTCTTGATTAGCAGTTTTTTCACCAAGGTATGGCGATCCAGAGAAGGAAATGCTGTCTTGTGAGAAGTACACGGGCATCAGTTAAAATGACCAGTCAGTCGCTCACCATCCTCACCCATCCTTCAGAATATAAACAGCGTTCTTCCCATCTGCAGAACTAACACACTGGCCATTTCCCACCAAGGCAGCCTGACCCGAAGAAGAAGAATTGCTTTGCTATACTACAGTTTTTATTAATATTTTTTAATCGCATCAGCATTTCCCCCCAAGACTGCATATATGAAAATTTTTCATAGAATTTTAATACAGGATTATATAACGTGTATTTTTGTTGTGAAAGACATTGCTTGTACTTTTGAAAGTCATTATTGGAATGTTTCACTTTGGGTCAATATTGTACCGTGATACACATATAACCCGCACATAAAAGAGAGAAGCTTACGACGACGTTTCAGTCCGACTTGGACCATTGACAAAGTCACACTAACCAGAAGTGGAGCAGGACGGCTATATATAGGCAGGAGCACAAAAATAGTGTTAGGCTTGCCGACACTAACAATGCTCTTTTCTGTCACGTCAGAGATCATAGCCATCCTATTGACTGGTCTTCTGCTAAAACTGCCTTCCCTACTTCCGACTCGAACAGTCGCCATCTAGTTGAATCCTCTCTAATACACAACTTTCCTTGTATGAACCTTAGCCCTGGCTTCGTCTCTGTAGATGCCTTCCTCTCCCGCTACATTGTAAAATGCTTCAAACTTCAGAACACCCGTGACTTAACCTGACTCCTCATTTTTTTCTTTTTTTCTTTTTCTTTTTCTTCTTCCCCCTCTTCCCTTTTCCTCTTTCCTTTTCTCCTCTGGGTTGTCTTTCTCTCTTCTGTCTCGTGTTTCTGTTCCTTCATTTATTTCCCACTTCCCCTTTCACGCACTTCTGTGGCTTGCTCTCCCTCAGTGGGCACCTAGCTCTCTTGCAGTGCTCCCCTTCCTTTGTTTTTGACTGCTCGTCGTCCTTATTTCCCACTTCTCCCAACTACCTCTTCTACTACAAATAACTACTACTACTGATGAAATTAAGACACATGTGCGGATGTCTGGTTGTCTTTGTTGTGGACGTTTTGCCATCCAGGGGCTGGCTGGATGGCAAAACTTCTATGATGGGGATGCCGGATGTTGCGCATGTGTCTTAATTTCATTCTTGTCGGTATTTACCATTCTTGTACAACTACTACTACTACTAACCACCACATCTTCCTGCCTATATATAGCCGCCCTGCCCCACTTCTGGTTAGTGTGACTTTGTCAAGGGTCCAAGTCGGACCGAAATGTCGTCGTAAGCTTCTCTTTTGTGCGGGTTATTTGTGTATCGTTCCAGTCACGGTATTGTGCCTTTTTTGTTATTTATTGTACCGTGATGTTTGTGCCCTTGAAAAGGTAGCTAGAGAATGAGTATAGTGAATGTGGTATCTTTATATCGCCCTCCCTTGTGGAAAATAGCCAATGTGGATGTATTGTGGTTTTTTAATCTGTAATGTATGGATAGTAATATCTTCTTTCTTTCAACTTTACTGGCCAATCCCACCAAGGTGGGGTGGCCCAAAAGGAAAAACAAAAGTTTCTCCTTTTACATTTAGTAATATACACAGGAGAAAGGATTACTAGCCCCTTGCTCCTGGCATTTTAGTCACCTCTTACGACATGCATGACTTACGGAGGAAGAATTCTGTTCCACTTCCCCATGGAGAAGTGGAAATAAACAAGAACAAGAACTAGTAAGAAAAATAGAAGAAAACCCAGAGGGGTGTGTATATATACAGTGGACCCCCGCATAACGATTACCTCCGAATGTGACCAATTATGTAAGTGTATTTATGTAAGTGCGTTTGTATATGTATGTTTGGGGGTCTGAAATGGACTAATCTACTTCACAATATTTCTTATGGGAACAAATTCGGTCAGTACGGGCACCTGAAAAATACTTTTTGGAGTGAAAAAATATTGTTAACCGGGGGTCCACTGTATATGGTTGTACATGCAAGTGTAGTGTGACCTAAATGTAAGTACGGTGGACCCTCGGTTATTGGCCGTAATCTGTTCCAGAAGGTCGGCCTAAGACTGAAATGGTTTGAAAACCAAAATTATATTCCCCTAAGAATTAATGGAAATACAATTAATCCGTTCCAGACAAAAATATTCACAAAAAAACAAAAAAAAATTTTAACAATTATATAAGTACATGTATTAAAATACCTTTATTGGAGGCTAATGTGGCTTCTGGAAATAGGGAGGAAGAGGGAGGAGTTTAGTGTTTGGAAGGGGAATCCCCCTCCATAAAGACTAGGTAACCAAGCCTTCTTTGGGGTTACTTCACCTTCTTTGTCTTTTAATGCCACTAGGACCAGCTTGAGAGTCGCTGAACCCTGTCGCACAAAAAAAACTGTCAAGAGTTTTTCTGTTTCTGGCATCTCTTTAGATTTCCCTGAAGTAGGACGGGGTTTTTTGTCACTAAACATGTTGCAGATATAGCTTGTTTCAGCTTGGTCAAGGTGGTATTTTCTACAAAAGCTTGCATCTTAGTCCACATTGCACACACCTCTTTAATCTCTGAAGAAGGCACCATCTTCACTCCCTCTGCCGCTGCCTCCTCTGAAGCAAGTTCCTCGCCTGCAATCTGTTGCGTTCGAATTGAAGCTCTTGCAGCTCTTCGGGGGTTTAGCTTTTCCCCTGTGGTCCTCCATCAACTCTTCCACATCCTCCCCACTCACCCCAACCCCGGGGTTTCCCCCAGTGCCACAATAGAGTCCACAGGGTCGGCAGGGTCAGGGTTAGTCTCAAACCCTTCAAAATCCCTCTCTTGGACACAACCTGGCCACAGTTTTCTCCAAGCAGAGTTCAAAGTCCTTACCTATAAGTCTTATGAAAATTGAGGATAGTGAAGTGATCTTTCCAGAACTCTTTTAGGGTCAACTGAGTGTCAGAGGCACTTCAAAGCACTTTTCAAACACTGCTTTTTTTGTAGATTTTTTAAGTTAGAAATGACCTGCTGGTCCAAGGGCGGGAGGGAGGAGTGGTGTTAGGAGGCAAAAACTTAACTTTTATAAAATTGAAGTCCCTAAACACTTGGTCTTCCAAGTCGGGAGGATTTTTGCAGGAGCATTGTCCAAAGTACCAGGAGGCACTTGAGTGGCAATTTCTTTTCCAGGGGTATTTTTTCACACTTTAGCCAAACACATCATTAACCCCACTCTGAAAATTTGCCTTGTGACCCATCCTTTTGATTGACTTTCCACATCACACACAATCTATTCTTGACAACATTGCTGTTATTGAACACTGGGATTTTCCGAGATATACCAGCAAGGCTTCATTTTAAAAAATCCCCACTAGCATTAGCACACAACAAAAGGGGTAAGCCTGTCTTTCATAGGCTTATGTCCTGTCTGTGCCTTTTCCTCCTGTGTGATGTAGGTCCTGTTTGGATTTTCTTCCAAAACAGGCCTGTTTTGTCACAATTGAACACTTGTTGGGGTTTTAAAATTTTTCAGCTTTTACATAGTCCTTGAACTCCTGTACGTACTTTTCAGCTGCTTTTTTGTCAGAACTTGCAGCCTCTTCATGCCTTACAACACTGGTATGCCACTACACTTCTTAAATCTCTCAAATACCCTTTGTTGGCCCTAAATTCACTACCAGCAGCACTTATTCCAGGAGTTTTCCTGTAGAAGATCCTCATGTAACTGCTTTGCCTTCTCACAAATAATAGATTCTAACAATACTGTCTCCCACTACATGTAATTCTTTTCCTTAATCCACAATAACAACAACTTTTCTTATCTGTACCATTTATCGGTGACCTTTTTCATTTTAAAACTTACTCCTTTCGCAACTTTTGCATCCTGAATTTGTCTTTGCCAGGATGGATGTTAATGTTGATTTGTTTTCCCGTACATCCTGGCAAGTTCCAGCACCGCTTTCCACTCTCGTATTTATTCAACCACTTCACCCTTAAATTCCATGGTGTTTCTCACTTTCTTTACCACAGGAACTTTACTAGGAACTTTCTTTGAAGCATGGTTACTTATTTCGCAGGGTTTTCTCTGCAAAAAAAAAAAAATGGAAAACGAGCAAAATGTCTGGTGTATGAGCAGAAGCTTCCTTACACACTGAGAAACACAGCCAGACTGACACCCCAAGGGGGCCCCAGCCGGCAGACGGACGCATCCGAAACAGCTGATCATCGAAATAACTGCCGATCACCAGGAGCCAAAAAAACAGCCGATGGCCGAGTTGGCCGATAACAGGAAAGGCCGATATCCGAGGGTCCACTGTAGAAGTAGCAAGACATACCTGAAATCTTGCAGTTTGAGACAGAAAAAAAGGCACCAGCAAGCCTACCATCATGTAAAACAATTACAGGTTTTTGTTTTTAACTCACTTTTTCAGGATGGTAGTACTTCCCTGGGTGGTTGCTGTCTACCAACCTACTACTTAGGGGATAGTAATATATGTACATACAGTGGACCTTCGGATAACACCTGGAATGACTGACGCCATAATTGGATAACACCTTGCTTTGGCGTAAAAAAATTGGCTCGGTAACGCCTAAAAAACTTGGTTAGGAGCTTTCGTCCCGAACGTGTCCCACACAGCGCCCCTGAGTGGGCCAGCCACTCACCCCGTGTACTAGCCACTGTGCCATTGTTTACAAGCCAGTTAAAAGGGTGATTTCCCCTCATACATGGCGATACATTTTGTATTATTTCATTGTTTTTAGTGCTTGTAACTGCTAAATAGCAACCATGGGCCCAAAGAAAAATTCTAGTGCCAACCCTGTGGTAAAAAGGGTGAGGGTACTATCGAATTAAAAAAGGAGATAATAGAAAAGTAAAAGAGTGGAGTGCATATCCAGAGTTGGAAAAGTTATACAACAAACCCCATTCAACCATCACTATTATCTGCACAATGAAAAGGCAATCAAGGAAGCTGTTGATGCAAAAGGTGCAAGTGTGCTTACAAAAAAAGATTGCA